TGACTATTTTGATCAGGCAATTTCTTTATTGGGTTGTTTGAATCAAAACTGAGGCTCTATGCAAGTTTCCCGTATTGAAAAACTAGGAAAAATAACTTTCGTCAGTGCAGACAGGTCGGCCGGTTGGGTAGACCGGTCACAGGTCGACCGGTTAGTGAAGACAGGTTGACCGGTGAGTTATAACGTCTCTGTCACCGGTCGACCGGTTGTAACATAAAATGCATGATGACATGGCAAAGTCGACTCTGGATGCGATTAGAACTTTGGGAAACCTAATTGTTACGAAAGTATGACTTCCTAAACACTATAAATAGCCTATTAAGTCACTTGCTATTGATAAAAGATTCCTGAGAGGAAAAATTGTTTAATTCTCAAGAACAATTTTTTCTTTGGCTCTCTTGTGATTGGAAGGAGATCAATAATACCTAGAGGAGATTAAACGACGTGTGCCCACCCGCACACCGATTGTGAAAACGAGAATAGCAAAGAAGACCAGTTGGTTGAGGCTCTTCCGGTTGCTGTTTGGAACGCTTAGATCTGTCAGACGTGCAGTTTCTTGAAATCTCAAAAGATATGTTTTAGATCTTTAGTATTTATGTTATATAGCATCATGAACATGTTCTTGTTTGACTTTGACGTTGATTAAAATTTTTAAATTCCGCTGCGCACTCGATGCCATTAATTTTCCAACAGCTTCACCACCTACTCTGCATGCATTTAATGTACGTCAAATCCTGACACAGTTGTACTTCAATCTGGACGTGGGTGAGTTCGTCACCTTCGGCTCTTTGGAAGTGCTCTTCATTCATGGCCAGTAAAGAGTTTGTCTTCATGGTGTGGCCATTGTTCCTTCTAATCAACTCTTTTAACGAGGATACTTAACCGTTAAAGGTCGACGTTCATCCAGCGCGCTTTACTACCACTCCGCCACTCCGCCACTCCGCCACTCCGTATCTTTATTTTAATTATTTTATACTTTAATCATACCACCGGACGCTCAATCATTATTTTATGTAGAGCTTAAGATTTTACCCCACAACAAATAGTGCTGTGAATGAGTGCAACAATGAAAGAACAGCTTGGATTTGACGGTGAAAATAATTTCAGCGGTGGTAATACAAGGGTTTTTAGACCATTGAATTCTTTTTTTAGAAAAACTGTCCTTTCTTTATTACTAATATAAATCACGTCGTTTTAACTGTTTAATTTTTTAATAGATAAAAAATGGGAATGCACTTTATGTAGATCATCTCACAAAAACACTATTCAAACTTTTGATTCTTTTATTTTGTCCTTCTTTTTTTTCTAACCTTTCATTTCAATCCTCTAAATTATGCAATTACCAAATATAACCCTTAAAATATTTTTTTTTACCCAAGTAAAATAATTATTTCTAATACATTCCTATTTGAAGTTTTTTCTTCACATGTACTCTTTGATTAATCCTACTTGATTCAATGAATAAAATAGTTTAATCAATAATATGTTATTTATAAATATATATATATATATTCGACTTTAACACAAGTTTAATTGAAATGTGTATTTTAGTACGTCTCCTCTAAAAAAAATCTTATTATTTTAGATGTATCTTATTCAAATAATATTTTCCTTTAAATATATAAGGGATGCATTAAAATAAATAAATATATATGTATACATATATATATATGTGTATATATCTATATATATATATATCAACTGTATCCTTATCGGTACTTATCTTATTTAATCTTTACTCATTATTTTTGTCTATCTATTTTGTCACTCTTTCTCTTTTTTTCTCTACAGTCATCCCCTTTAACTTTTTTTTTTTTTTTTTGTGTTTTTTATACCTAAAATGTTATATACTGAAATGTTTCATTAGATTTTTTTCCCCATTGAAATAGTTTTTCTCAAACAAGTCCCACTATAAATTTTTTTTTAAATGATGCCTCAAATATAACCTTGAAATTTCTGTTTTTAAACAAATAAAAAATTAATAATCTCATAATCAAATCCTAACTTGCTATTAAAGTTCTTATAATGCCTCACACATGCAAAGCACATGTCGTCCAAGTAGTAGAGTATGGTATGCGAATGTCTGTTAGAAATTTGCATAAAAAATTATTCTGCTTAGAAATTCCATTCTCTTAATTTTTCAAGTTAAGAGGGATCAAAAGTAATTAGGATACTCTCACAAGATCTATTCTTTTATTTACTTTTTGCTCAAAGGATCCCTTTTTTCTACTAATCCATTCTACCATATAGTTATAAATCTAAATACGAGATATTAATCTTCTTATGCCTACTCACTTTAATTCACATCCAAAATAAATCTAAAGAGTAAAAAACAATAATAAATTTTAAAAATAATAAAAATAAATATTTAGAAAATCTAAGACATTAACCATAGTAGTATTCTAGACATATTAATCATCAGTGATTAATGGAAAATATACCACTGAGTACATGTGCGGAAGCGTCTGTATAGGATACGCTACGTAAATATACCACTGAGTACATGAACATGATCTTCATACTTCAAGTCACAATCTTCCATAATCACGCTTACGGTGTGCATGGTTATTACAAAGACAGAGTTTGAATAACCATGATAAATCCAGAACTCAAGAACCTATGGAAGACTAGGAGAGAGAGTTGATAGAGTTTCGATATAAATTTGTCACACTCTTCAGTTTGTGCATTTTATTTCAAATAAAATAAAATTAAGGCGTTGATTTTTAGGCTATACACCATTATGTGTGCCTCAAAGTCCAACAGAGATTTTATAAGTCAATTGCTTTTTTTTGTTATGGGTGTTGGGGACCTTATTGTCTAAAATAATCAAAACAAGGGACCCCAAAGTGCAAGTAAAATGGGAGTTTAGGGACTCCGTTATCCAATTTTTTAAAATAGGGACCGGATGCCAAGGTCAACAAGTTTGGGAGGCCCAAGTGCAATGAAAACCCAAATTATAATTACGCTTGCGTTCAGCAATAGAGTCTATAATCATGCTTCAATAATAATAAACCTTAGAGTTACTCCCATGGTTAGTTCCTGAACTAAAACTCCAATCTCATTTTGGTTCTAAACTTTTAAAACGTCGAATAATGCGTCCCCTGGTGATAAAATTATTCCGAAGTTGTCATTTCGTCCATTTGATTAATGTTAAAATCTCAACTCAAAAAAGATATAAAAGGACCATTGTGTATAGTTTAGAGATTAATTTTGCAATTCTATATATGAGGGACACGACTATTATTTGTTTGGGGATTTGTTTTACAATTCGACCAGTTAAAGAGTTGTATTTTACTTCTTAGAAAAACTTAGGAGATATTTTGCGATTGTTTAAAACATAATGAAAGCTAAAACATAACTAATATACGTTATAATTTTGATTCTCCGTTAATTATTCTCTGGAGAACACCGTGCAAGTGCCGTAACGTATAAACAACAGGGAAGTTAAAGGTGTTGGGTTCCGCCCCATTTGTAGGCTGGAACAAATAATGGGCTTTATGCCGAAATGTCAATGAAAAAAAAATGAAAGAAGCTTGCTCTGGCAAGCTTAACTCACGTGCAGCATTAACAAAAAGAAATTGAGGGCTGCCGTGAGTTGCAGCGGAGGAAATCAGAGAATGAGAAGGGAAGAAAAGGAGAGAGAGAAAGAGAAAAAAGGTAGGGTTTTGGTGCTTGTGCAAGATGATTGGGTGGCGAATCGTTGTCGGTTTCGGTTCAAATTTGACGTGGAGAATCCTTTTGGCTAGCTCTTCTAATCTACCGGACTTGATTTCTCATTTAGCCTATCTTTAGTACTCTCTTGAGTACTCCTAATTTGGTGAGATCTAATCTTTTCTTTGGTGTTATTGTTAATATCCATTTTTGATGATGATGTCTATATTGTTGGTGAATCAAGAATAGTGTTTATGGATGATATTATTTTTTTGAGCCTCTAGTTTGATTCTAGCGAGAAACTTTGTAATCCCATTATTAATATAGTGGAAGAAATTTAAGTAGCCTAAGAGTCTCGGGATTTTTACTCTCAATTTGAGAGGTTTTCCACCCTAAAAATTGGTATTGCATTTGTGGTTGATTATTTTGATTAATTGGTGCATTAATCGTTTGACTTTGTTGGCATTTTACTTGAAATCATATTTTATCACACAAAAAGGGAATGTTTTATTCCGTAATTATTAGTCTTAGTTTTCCTAGTTAAGTGGGAAAGAAAATCAAATATGTATACATGTATAATGGCACCTAATGAAATTACAAATAATTCTCTCCTGTAAATGATAAAAGTTACTTCCCATTAATGGGAATATTTTGGATAAGGTTTCCTATAGATCATTCTACGTAAACGTTCAACAGATTGCATGCATCATTCAACTTTCGAATCTTCTTGACGAATTAGGTATTTGAGGCTTGGAAGTGAGGGCAACGATCCCAGTCGGGTAAGATTAACATAATCAAGAGGACTATGAGCTGATAATCCCGGAATAACTAAACCGACAACCCTTAGCATTCTCATAAGCCAATTCTCCTTATAATCCGAACCCTTTATAAATGGTATTACGAAACCCCTAATCAACTCCCAAACTGCGTTTATATACTTTGGCAACAACCATACCAAAGAGAAGTAGTTCTTGTTTGGCTCCTCGGAAAGAACCTGAATTTTTACAATCAGAAAATTAATATATATATATATATATGATCATATCCCAAAACCAAGCACAATTAGCGAGAGAGATAATAATTATAAAGAGCGAGAAAGAGACAGAATTATTACCTTCCCTTTGTAGTAGCTATCGAAGTAAAGGCAAGGTCCAAAGTGCTTAAACAATAGGGTTTTGTCATCATAAGGTATTCTCGGCACAAGGTCGTTGCAATAGACGTACCTTCTATACTTGACATTAAAGTCTTGCAGTTTTTTTGTCATGAAAGTTCCAAAGTGCTCGTCCCCAACCCTAGGCTGTCCAAAAGTGTAAACCCCTTCCAATCTATCCATCAACAAGGCCTCGTTGTGGATTGCGAGCCCCGCCACAAACAGTATCGCCCACGCCCCGCCCAAGCTGTGACCCGTCACTATGAACTTGGCGTCCTTGTTCTCTTGCAACATAGCTTTCAACATTTTCTTGATTTCGTAGTAAGCGAAGGACCGATTTTGTTGACCACCATTGACGCCTTGTTGATCATGATCATCTAGCTCGGCGGGCCACGTGTTGTCCTGTTGTAGGCCGATGCCGTTGATGAAGCCTCTGTGGATCTTTCCGACGTTCTGGAGCTCGTACCATGAGATGTCGAAATCTGTTCTCCATGCATCGGCGTCAAACGGGTCGGTGCCTCTGAATGCTACGGCGATCAGTTTAGGGTCGTTTATTTTGTCCTGAAATATGAAAGCTGGTGTTGAATGTTTCTCTAGGTAACCTGCCGGGCATTGGACAAGGGTTTTAGAGTCAAAAGATCAGTATTGTCTCAGTAGCAGGGTAATTTGTTACAAGTTGTAATAAGACATAGGCGTGTAAACAAATATATATGGATTTTTTGTGGTACTTTTTCCATGCAACAAAATTAGGATAAAAGGCATTATTTTGGCTGGTTATCATGTTTAAATGTTTTGTGTTCTCTCTCTCTCTCTGTCTCTCGCCCCTTTTTTATTTTTTTACTTCCTCAAAAGAGCAAAAAGAGAAAGGGAAAACCGTTAAAAATGTTTCCTAAAGAAAGGTTTGATATTGTTTTACCACAGACCAAAATACCAAAATCTGACGCGAAGTTTTAGTTTTATTTTTTGAACTTTCCTTTTCTAGTTTTGGGAAGAAGGATTAAACTATTTTCCCTATTTTAAGGGTGAAGAATATCTTTGCAACCGCAACTGTCTCGAAGGAGCATTCAACTCTAAATTTTGGTCTAAAGTAAAGCAATCTCCAAGTATAATCTACTTTAAAACACATGAATTAATTTAAGAAATTTTGGTCTAATCAATTCTATCCTCAACTTACCAATTAACAATCAACACAGCCTTTACAATCCATTCAACCCACAATTTGCTAATTAATTTAACAATCAATTTGAGAAATTAGTTAAAGTATAATAAAAAGAGTACGTAAATGCATAGACGTAACTTCTCATTCTCAACAGCAGCACAGTGAAAGAGTAAAAAAAAAAAAAAAAAAATTCGTAGTCAAATTATAACTGCAGCTTTTTTTTTTTTTTTTTCCTTTTCTTTTCTTTTCTTTTTTCAGCTTTTCTTAGTTCCAAATTTCTCATATTCTAATACAGGGTGCGACTTTTCGGTGTGTGGAGAGACAGAGGTATGCAGAGAAAAGGTTTCTAATTATCCTCTTTAGGTTTCTTTCTAATATATAATTTGTCAGCCCACCACTTAAATGCTATTCGTACTTCTGATATACACAAAAAGCAATTATTACATGAGATGAATTATGGAGAGTTAGGCATGGTATGACAAGGAACCTTGACGTCCCACAGATATTGTTCGGCGGGATAAACTCAAAAAGACAATTTGAGTTTTAATTTTATTTAAATTTATATTCTTTTAAATTTAAATTTGAGTTTGAATTCGAGTTTGGGACTAAAACTTGAGTTTAAGTTTTCCTTTCAACTCGAGTTCAGAAATTCAAATTCAAATTAATAAATAATATTTTTTCTATTCTTAAAAATACTATAACTTTTTCATTTTAATCCTGATTGAGATGATTTTTTATGCGTGACAAATAATGAAGATTACGTAGCTAATTACATTATTTATTTATGATTTTTTTTATCAGATATTTAACTATAATTATATTCTCAAATGGCTTACTCTGAAGTGAAAGCGAAGCCTCTATGTTTGACTAGTATGCGGGTGATTAGTATTGAAACACAAATATTTTCCACTCGTAACATTTTAAGGATAAAGATATTTTTGTGTGCATTTGGATGTAAAACTACGATCGAGCAGAATAGTTTTTAATTCTTCATCCAACACGCTAGGTATTTAATTTTAATATTATACCCCCAAATATTACCATATTCTTTATTTCGGCCTAATATATACTAATGGTTGTCTTCAATTTTATGATGTTCCGCTATTTTCATAATCTGTAAAGCCAATGACATATATGCAAAATATATACTACACCATGTGCTGCCGCACAATGAGAGAATACCAAAATTAAGTAGTCATGAAAAAAGAATAAATAACGCGCGCTTTCTTACAATTCCAAAAGTTGTAGAACCCCAAGAATCGCATCTGCAGTTATTAAAAAAAAAAGATCATATATTTAGTCTTTAATCATGATTTTCTCCAGCAATGATTGCGTTGTGTTTTTTGTATATTAAAGTAACACTGAAAGTAAGAACCACGCTCTACTTACCTTCCAATGATTTTGCACTATCCTAGTAATAAAGTATTCATTCTCGTAAGCCAATTTGGCTGCCATCATGGATAGAGACCCTTTATACTTTTCGTCGTTAGGTTCAATGTTCTTGTCTAGCTCCACTCGCCAATCAAGATGTCCCAATATAGATGCAGATGATGATTGATCCAGCCTCACCAAGTTTCCTACAGTATACTCTTGTAATTTATATACATGTATAACTTATATGTATATGTGTGTATATATATTTAGATTGAACCAGAAATTATCAAATATTATGCATGTAAATCTTTTAAGGCCTTAAAATATTGTCTTGTTTTGTTTGCAAACGTATTCAGTAATGACTCTAATTATATGCATATATATACGATTTGCCTTCAACAAATCAAAACACCAAAATGAATCTTATCATGAATGGATCATTCATGCAAGCATGCACCATTGTGAGATCAACTCACTCACTTTTAGAACATGGATTTACCTTGGGGGATGCTTATAGAGAACTATTTTCTCTTCTCTCTCTCTCTCTCTCTCTCTCTCTCTCTCTCTCTCTCTCTCTCTCTCTCTCTCTCTCTCTCTCTCTCTCTCTCTCTATAAACAGAAGAGTATACATACATGAATATAGAGGGAGAGCCATGCTTATAGAGAACTATTTTCTCTTCTCTTCTCTCTCTCTCTCTCTCTCTCTTTAAACAGAAGAGTATACATACATGAATATAGAGGGAGAGCCATGCTTATAGAGAACTATTTTCTCTTCTCTCTCTCTCTCTCTCTCTCTCTCTCTCTCTCTCTCTCTCTCTCTCTCTCTAAACAGAAGAGTATACATACATGAATATAGAGGGAGAGCCAAGTAAGTGTTACGTACCTCTGAAATAGTTTCTCAAGAGCGCAAGAAAGCCTCCGTTGGCTGCTAGAAGATTGAGCCACGACTCAAGCACGTCGCCAACCATAGCCATAGGTTCCTTCAGGATAAGAAAGAGCTTCTGCGCCACAACCGAAACGAAGACTATCCATCTTCGACGGAAGTCTCTTGATTGCTCTCCTTCTTCCTCCGAGCACTCAATGAAGCATCTTTTTTTTAATTCAGGTGAATACAATAGACGAATCAGCTCAATCAAACTGGCTTCTTTTGGCTTAAGCAATAAATGATTTTGAGATACGTAATCTGTAGAAGCCATGGAATATCGATAATATTATGGCTTGGAAGTTAAGAAGAGATGGTGATAATAATACAAGTCTCTGCTATGTCAATGACGTAGGACATAAGCGAAGAAAGGGAATAGGGAGAGGGAGTTTAAAGTTTGGAGCTAGGAAGAAGAAGAAGGAAAGGTTGGTAAATGTTAATATCGTCAACGATAATCAAATCTTAATTACGTGACAATCTTTTAGACTTATTTATAGAGAAGAAAGAAACAAGAAAGAAAAACTAATAATATGAAAAAGAAAGTAAACATAAAAAAAATTAAAAAAAAAAAAAAAGAAGAGAGAGAGAGAGAGAGAACAGAAAAGTAAGTAAACAAGTTGGAAATTTATTTAAGTACTAATTTAATAATATACATTCCAAAAACTCTGTTTAAAAATACTTTCTATTTTTTATCATAATAATATTTCTCATAAAGTATCCTTTCTCATCATTAACCTCACAAATTTAAGAATGGGTAAATATATTATGTATTTGTGTGTGTGGTATTTTGATTGGAAAGGTATTACAGGAGAAAGGAAACGAAAAATACAAAGGGTTGAGAAAGGACCCATTTATTTAACTGGGTGCCTTGTGCCATCGCTTTAAGAGTTAAAATAATTGATCCTTGGTCTGCTGGAGATGCTAGTTGCTTAATTAACTAATCTTCTAATTAAGATTTTGACCATATTCCATGTGACTACTGACCAGCATTTTAAACAAGTAAATTAATTACCGTGAAGTTATAGTTGTCCACTTAATTGGCCGGTTCATTGTCGTGAGCTAGGGTTTTTGTATCAAAGGAATTTTAAGTCATCACATTATTAGTCTCAATTCTCAAAAGCGAAAAGGTAAACAATTATCAAAACAAACGATGGTGGGGGGTTATGTAAATTTTTTTTCTTTTTCTTCTTTTTAAGTAAATGAAGAGAGGGATTTCTTAACTTTTACAATTTTATATATATGGGCAGTTAATTGATTGCCAACCTGCTCTTTGATTCTGCTATTTATTTATAATCACTAAATTTCTGACTTTGGAGATTTCTTAGATGGAGAGTTCCAAATCAGTTCTATATATTTATTACCGGTAATTTGTTTTAAGACCTGAAACTGTAAAAAGTGTGAAGATAATTCTTTTTTTTTTCTCATCATAATAATATTTTTACTTATAATTTATAAATATACTTTCACATATATGAACGAATACGAAAGTAAGAGAATATTCAAAAGACGGATGAAACTAGTGAACCGCGTCAGAACAATACTATGAAATTACGAAAAGTAAACGATACAAAAAAGAACGTAACTGAGGCTGCTGGGCTGGGTTGGATAGTGCTTGTCCCTTAAGAAGATCATAGCGATCCGCCTCGTTCAAGTAGAATTAATGCAACTAAAACTAAAACTAACCCATTCTAATTTAATATATATGTTTACTACTTAACCCATTCTCAATTACTTAATTCGATCAACTTAGCAATTAGAATTACTTGAATATGTTAGATATGATATCAATGCACCTAAAACTAACCCATTCTAATTTAATATATATGTTTCGAATAAGAACTTGAAAAGACATTAAGGGTGGTTTTACCTCTAAAATAAAAAATTAGAACAAAATATTAGTTTCTAATTTTAATTCTATTCAGTAATTTAATGGAGCGTACTCCAGTATTTTCAAAAGAACAGTGTGATAAGCTTGAAAATTAACTGCATTCAAACATTTAATTTGTTCCGGTTGCTCCAAACGTATATTGACCAAAGAATTACCTAGCACTCTTAAACTATTGTTATATATATATATATATATATATATAATTATCGCATGCTTGATCTTGTTAGATAATTAATCTTTGATTATTCGACAACGCTTTTTGAATATCAAATTATAAACCAGAGTCAATGGGTGAGCTTCGAAGAAATTTTGTTTGTTTTCTTCAGCTTGGACTACACAAAATTATTTGTTTAATGGATTTTGTTTTTCTTGGAGAAAAGAGAGTGGGGAAAGAACGGGTCAAATTTTTTACTTTGACGAGCCATAATATTTTCAGATTTAGGTTAATGAAAACGCCCAAGCACAGTGTTATTTCAAATCCCTTTTGGGAAATTTTTAGTTACTTTGCTCCACCAGTGGAAATAATAGGTTTTAAATGATTAGTTTTTAAACAATCTTATATGTGTAGGTTCATATTAAAAATTTAGAGCATGTCACACATAACTATTCCTACTGCATATCTAACCATTAAAAAATTAATTTAAATGGTAAAAGTATAATTCGTACCGGTGGAGTAAAATAACATTTTCTACCGTAAGGACTCTTTTTTTTTTTTTTTGGCTGAAAATCAACTAAGAATCAGTTCATGTGTCAGTTTATTACTATTGATTGAGATGAATTATAAATTATCAGTTATCAACTGATGCCACAAAATTTTTGAGGCCACGAACTATTTACGAGCTTAAGAGCTTATTTGATGGGAGGAAAAAGTAAGAGGGAGAAGGATGACGGGATTGGTCGAAGGATTTTTTGAGACTTATGATTATTTAGTACGAGAGAAGGGAGAAGATAACAAATGAGAGATTTCAAAGCATTTGATGAACCCCAATTTTAATCTCTTTAAGTACAGAGAATAAAAAAAGAAAATCTATACCAAATATAATAAGGGAAAGATCCTCTTTTATCCTTTCTATTTTTCTTATCTAGATTACATCATTTTTTTCCCCCTTTTACAAAACATAACCCTCTTATGCTCGTTACTTTTCAAAATTCTTTTTCTCCATTTGTCATAATTGGTTGGTATATCAATATATTTGCTGAGTCAAGATGAACAAAATGGAAAACGTTTTACTCATTGCTATATATAGCCTTCATGTAATAAGCGGCCCCAGTTTATAGATTAAGTGAAAAGTCTTGAATGGCAGCTATATGTGCGTCCTCATTCAAATCCCTTTGTCAACCCTCTGACGTCGGAAGAACTTTGATGGAAACGTGACTAAATTTATAAAAAAATAAAAATAAAAAAAAAAGGAGGAATCATTTTAGACACTTTTTTTGACGGAGAGCAGTTTATAATTTTTATCCGATACAAAAGTATTAAAATTAGATAGGTAATAAAAAACGAGGCATAACGACATGTAGACGTCGCTTGAAAAAGCAACGTCTAAATGGGCATCGAGAAACATAGCCTGAATGAATCAACGTACAACAGGGTGGCGAGAAAGGTACCACTTTTCCAAAAGCTATACAAACTAATGAATACCCCAGCCCGGCGATTTTCTTTTGATAGCCTCTACGGTGGAACTCTAGAAAAACTTTCACTGGTGGAGCCCTTATTTTTTATTGTTGGATTACTTTTTTAACTGTTAGATTTACACAGAGAGTAATTCTGTGTAGCACATTATAAATTTTTAATATGAACCTGAATAAATTTAACTGTCGAAAATTTAATCTAAAATTTCAAACTAAATGTTCCACCGATAAAAGCTTTTAAAGGGTTCTACCGTATAATTTCTCTTTTTTTTTTTGGATAAAACCCTAACACGTCTTTTAGATGAATCGTTCCGCATCCTTCTATCGGTTGTCGTCTCTTTCCATTTGTATAATAGTTTTTTATTTCTTTGTGTACGACCAATATTACTTTAGGTAAATCCTTGTTTTTGTATAACACGGGCGTTCACAGCTTGCAGCCTACCTTGGGTCTATCCTGGGTCACAAAGAGGCCGAACTTGGCCCGTTGAGAAGCCAACATGAGTAAGTGATTGAAAGTATTTGTCTCTATTGCCCATAAACACGCAATGCTCAAGATGGGGCCTACTTCTAGTTTTCAGCCCAACTTCCCAACAGTTTTTCAGAGGACGAACCAAGATTTGTTGATTTTTTTTTTCTTTTTGGTAGAGGCCAAGACTTTAGTTAGTTTTAGTGTGTTTTTTTTTTCCTTTTTCTCTTTAGGGGTGTTTTTGTTTTCTTTTGTGTGTGTGTGCGCGCTTTTTTTCCTTCTTCAGGGAAAACCCAATACTTTTGTTGATCACCCCATATATAAACGAGGTCAATATCGCAGCTCTATTGTGCCTAATTCTATAAATAAATGGTATGCAAAGTTACTGCATTTAATATTGCTCCATCAAACGTATGTATCTTATAACTCCTCCAGGCTCCTTTTTTTTTTTTGTGGATAAAGGGACTCCTCCAGGCTCTTCTAAGTACCATAAATAAGATCATTTTTTCCATGCATGTTTCTAGAACCTAAATTAGGACAAAGTTTCTTCAAGATTTTTTTTAAATTATAAATATAAAAAAAAAAATTATTGCAATACATCCCTCCTGTCAAAAAGGACAAAAGAGGAAAGGAAGAATATTGGCCCAATATATTTAAGATTGTGTCATTCTCCCGGTGGGTCTCAGTACCAAATCTAATCCAATCAACCAACATGTTTCATTGTTTTGGATTTTTGTAATTACCCTATTGTTGGCCTTATCTTTGCAGAACCGTCCTCCCTTGTTTTATTTTTTTTTTTAATTTACGTATACAAACATTGCCTTAGAAAAGAAAAAAACAAAGTTAAACAAGTTAACGAGAATACTAGATTGTGCGTTGCTCATGCCTCATAAATCTTTTAGGCCCATTTAATTCATGCATTTAAATTAGTGATTTTTAATTTTGGCATTTAAAATTCAAATTTTTTATGAGAAGAAAACACTATAGCATAATCAAAACTATGTATTTAAACGCAAGAAACAAATGAGTCCTTAGGTTTTACCAATATTTGCCTAGATAAGATCAACTTGCATACGTATTTTCTGAAAATTATTTCAACACTAAAAATAAATAACATGCACGTACGTGTATACAAAATCAAAGCATTGGAGTACTACTTACACTATATATTATTTCTTGGAAGTTACTTATTTTAGTCTCTATTTTACTTTAGTTGATGTTTCAGTTTCCAACTCTATATATATATATATATATATATATATATATTATATATCTGACGAACTTATCAACAAAGACTCAAATATTCCATTCACACTCGTCTCTGCTGACCGATGAAAGCTACGATTCAAAACAGTTCAAAGACGTTTTAGGAATATATCACAATTAGTTCCTTCCCCTATTTTCTGATGTACATTTATTGCTTTTGTTTGCATATAATTGAAAGCCCTTTGAGTTGCAATCAAGGTCAACATATTTTTCATATGAAAGATATGTGCATATGTTTAAAGTATGTCTAGTGTGAGATGATACAGTGCACTTGTCGTTTTAAAACTCCATTGCCTAATATTCACAGGACAAGAGGGCTCCTCTCACTTAGTCGAAGGGAAACCTTGATCATGGGAATGTTGAGATGTTAGCGGGACGTCTCACATGGGTCTTCTGATTTTTGGTTTGACCGTTTCTTCTTTGGTCTTTCGTTTCTTTTTATGTGTTTCACACCCATATATCCCTTTGTGTTTTGGGTTTAATATATAGTAGATTATATGCACGTATATTCATATATATATATATATATATATATATATCTCATAGAAAACATAGATTTTTTTTTCCTGTTCTGTTTTGGATGTAAATTAATCATGGAATATTGATACTTGAGACATAAACACTTCTCCCTTAAGGTCCTGCATTGGGAAGCAACCTACTCTTAATTTCTCTGTCTATCCAGCATTGTCCCATTTGAATTAATAGAAACACATGGAATATGGTTTCCTTTGCTTTCTTTTCACCCCTCAACTTTATATATGTATACTTTTTGCTGAATTGTTTATATAGCTATACTTGTTTTTCTCTCTAGGTCTCTACATATATTTTATATACACATATATATACGCATGTATGCATACATATATAATATACATAATAGTGCCAACTATTGTTGTGGATGCCTGTGGATGGATCTCTCATCAAAATTTGGATATATAGAATAAAAATATTGAAAGGGATGTTGACAGAATAAAAAAGGATTATATGTATAGTGTACCTAGACAATATTTGGAAGATTGTTTATGGTACATAAATCTCTCGCGAAGTGAAATTGATTATGTATCTCCTTTATTGTGATGTAACTTCCTCCACATCAAAGGCTATATTTGGTAGTGATTCTTATAATCAAAAATCAATTCTTTAGTCATTCACAGTTGAAATTTGTGTTTGGTAAAAATTATTAAAAGTGATTCTTAAAGAATTTTTGAAGAATTTATAGTGAAAATCAGAAGCAGCATAAATAAAACTTTAACTTTTAAATTGTGCAACAATCACCTTGAAGTACAATTAATGAAACTTTCATAATACTCCTAAAATTAACACACATATAATTATAATTTACTAAACACTTAATTATTTTTTTTATATAATTAATAATAATTTTTCTAAAATCTACGGCACCACCGCTAAACTAAACTGGCCCAAAATCTTCTCAAGAAAATGGAGTACTCTTGCCACCCACCCATATAACCAAAGGCACCAAAGGGAAGTAGAGTACAGGCCCAATCAAAAGGCCTTTAGTCCAACACAGTAGTATATGATTAATATATTGAGCCCACTAGTTATAAGTAGATGAAAAGTAACAATATGTATCCAATTTAGTTATTATTATTATTTATTTTGTCATGTGCAGTTAGTTAATTTATAACGGCCTAAATTAGTTCATGATCACTTTCCACCTGCTAACCGACATCTTTTTCTTTGTTTTTTCTTTTTTGAAAAAAAAAAAAAAAAAACCGACATCAATTTGATAGGATTGATTAAATTTTGTACTCTGAATATGGCTGGGATTTCGTAGGATGCGTCACCTCAATTGATAAATAAGCTTTTCCTAACTCTGGCTTATTAGTTGAAGCTACATATGTTGATTGTTGACGTGCCTATAATGTTAGTATGCGTAATTTCCCTTAAAAAGTTGGTGTGTGCATATAATACGATTTTTCCTATCGATATTTTCTATGTAGCACTCGTCAAAATTAGATCAATAAATACACGAGTTAGCCATATATATAACGGGAAAATGTATCAAATATATGTTCTTACTTAGGATGTCGGCTGCATACACATAGGTTGTAATTATAAATTAATTGCACAATTGGGGTTCTTCCATTTTTAATATATAGTTATTTTCTACATTAATCGAGTTTTTTTTTTTTTTTTTTTTCCTCCTAAAGGAAGTCAATTGGGTTTTAGTTTTTATCCCAACTTGTATATCGATAATGATGTTCATAAAAACGGTGGTTGATGGGTGGCGTAAATCGGCAAGGGATGAAGTGCCACGTAAGATAGGAAGGGGTTGACCATGAAGATTGAGTTCACGTGTTGGGATGCTGATGGGAGACACTGTAGAGGGCCTTAGCCGTTGCCTCTAATCAGCTAATGGGTGAAGAGGGTATAATGCCAACACCGCAATTTGTCAGATTTTCACGTGAATTTCCCATGCACTTTCCATGACACTGCCTCCCCTCCCTTAAAATTCCACTTTCTTCTCTTTTGTATGCCATCGGAATTGAAAACACACGCTCTCCATCAGCCACTGCTGCATTATCGTCACATTTTCCATGCAATATTATAGTATCACTTTCATCTCTATTTAATTGTTTTTACATCTATATATCCGAACGAAATAATTAATTAATTAATGTCCTAAACTATCAAGATAAATGATTTGTCGTTCAATTTTCCATGGAATTTGGTACAGTTTCCGCTCTATTAATTGTCACGCCTATTTTAAGTATATGAAGAACTTTAAAATAAAAAAAAAATTGTTATCTCTTCTTCTTCTTCTTCTTCTTCTTTTCTTATTTTACTCCGCTTATATAACGGTACACATTGCTAGTGATGCTAGCAACGGACTTACACCGACCCCCTCCTTTTTTTTTTTTTTTTTTGTATTTTTCCTGCTGGATAAGATATATATGCTATTTTCCGGATTTAACTGATCGGATCGGGATAGATATAATAGGAAGATAATGTGCAAGATTTTTGTTAGGTTGTCCTCTTAGGCACGCGTACGTCCCTTAATTTGTTTTTTATTCGAATTTACCTTTTATTTTAAGTCATCGAAAGCTCGTCTCCTTATTATATATATAGCAATATGCCTACATATATAGAATATGAAATATAGCGTATCTACACAATTGTAATTTATAAATCTACATATTTACATCTTTTTTAGTAGAAATACGTATGTATGTGTCTATGTATAATATATTTATAATATATAGATATACCTACATGTACAAATGTCAGCAGCAAGGCATTAAACTTCCCCCGCAGCCTATTCCAGTCTCAGCTGGTTCATCAAAGAGGAACGCATTATTAGAAGAACCTACTCTTTTGTGATATCTCTAGATTTTTCTCGCTGGACGACATATACAAAGATTGTTTGCTTAGCCTGTCAACATTATTGTTCGGCTTTCCAAGGATCCAATGCTTCCTTTATTCTAATCAGAAATTTTACTATATATATATATATATATATATATATAATGTGTGTGTGTGTGTGTGTGTATACATATAATATAAATACCTCAAAAGTAATATCAGGAAAAAAAAAAAAGATAGATAAACCCTCACGGCCGTATTCCTGTCCATTCTACGCGGAAACATCGGACAAAGTTTTCAATGTTTGTACCAGGAAAAAAAGGCTGGCCATTGAGAGAGAGAACGGTACTAGTACTGGAGGAAGGGGAGATCTCGAGAGGCTCTATGGTATCACTTTAACGACTGTAATAATTAATTCAACGGCAATAGAACATGGATTACAAGCTGAAAAGATATTATACATCTCGAGAATAAAAGCTCTCATGCATGTTTCCTTTACAACCCCACAAACAATTCTCACTACTTGTACTCAAAAACAGCGTTTATGCTTCAATATGATCATCATATACGAGCTAGCTAGCTATAGGCCGCTGATTAAGCATCTCCAAAATGCTGAACATTCTGAGGAGCTGACGTAGCCCCTAATTGGTAAGCTTTCTCCACACAATTAGGATTAAGATAACTACTCCCTGTGGACATGGCCACATGGAAACCAATCCCCGTCACCTCCGCCGTCGTCGGCCTAGTTGCGGCAGCCCTCTCGAGCGTCTGAACCTGCGTCTTCAAGAACTTGACGTAGTGAATGGCCTCGTCCAACATGGAGGCCGTGTCCATTTTAGTCCCGCCGGGGACTAGTCTCTGGAGTATCCTGATCCTCTCGCTGATCCTCTCCCTCCGGTGCCTCGCCGCCACGCTCTGCGGGTCCTTCGATATCTTCACGTTCCGCCGCTTAGGCGGCTTCACCGACTCCGGATCAATGTGGATCGGCTGCATCACCGCGATCCGGAATATCATCTCCCTCATCGCCGCCATCGAGTTCCTCTTCTGAGGACTATTAATAGAATCGTTAACATTCCACTTGTTAGTATTATTATTATTATTATTCCCTACGGTTCCCGCGGCGGAACCAGAGAGAAAAGGCGGTACTTGCACGTGCGGCGGTTGGTCATGAACTGCGGAGGGGAATGGTATGGAGGAAGGGAGGTTTAGGAACGCATTGTGAATATTATGTGGGTGAGCTATGCAGTTTGGCGGGACGGCGGCGGGGATATCGGAATGCGGCGGCTCGGCGGAGAAGGAGGCGACGTCGTTGTAGGGACCGCAGAAGTCGGGGAGTTTATTAGCCATTTGCATCATGGTCATCATCATCATCTCCATCTGGTCATCTGATTTTAACTGGTCGTGATTAACATTGTCCATGGCTATGCTATAAGAGCTGCTCATTTTCCGTTTGTAGCGTAAAGGAAATGAGATTATTGAAGTTGTTGAAACGTGAAAGTGCAGTGAGTGAGTGAGTGAGTAACTGGGGAACTGAAATAATAGCAGAGGGATGGGGAAGATGAAAGAGAGGTGAGTTAGAATCGTAGTTTAATCAGAATTTGCAGTGTACTGGAGAGGAGAGGAAATCAAGGGCGTGAGATGGAAGAAGCGGAAGATTGATTATCAGAGAAAGGGGAGAAAAACTAATAAAATAGTGATATTGGGAACAGAGACTATCAGTCTGGTGGGACGACTATATATAAGATGTGTTTTTTTTTTTGTTTTTTGTTTTTATTTTTATTTTTTTGTTTACAATAAGTGGGTCGATAATATAATATTGAATTCATACATAAATGCTTTTGCAATTTTCTGCACTTTCATTATTATTATTATTATTATTGTTATTATTATTATCACAAAGTTGTTGCACTTTTTTTTTTTTTGGCCAATTGATTTTCCCGTCGGCTTTCTTTATTTGGGAACAATCTCCTCTTTAGGCAACAGATAAAAAGTAAAACAATAAAAAATCGAATATTCATTATTATTGCTGCCTAGAAACTAGAGAAGCATCATTTTGGGAGAATACTCTCGTGCTTGCACTTGCCTGTATATCTTGATTTTATTTTAGGGAAAAATTCTCATTTATTAACCATCAAAACTTGGGGGCCATTGTTTTAGGACCAGAGTTGGTAAATTCTGAATCTAATTAAATTATGACAATTAATTATTAATGAGAAAATGGTCGAATTTATTTTTGAGGTGCATGAATCCCGATTTTTACTTCGTATTTTTAATTAATATAATTATTTGACTAAAAATGATATTAATTAAGAATACAGAATAAAAATCGGGACTCATATACTCTAAGGACTGTTTGTCTCATTTCTTCTTAATTAATTAATTAATATATATAACGCACTTGCACCATCTTAATCACATGTCTAGATCGAAAAACAATATGAAAGAAATAAAGGCAAAATTGAAAAATGATAAAGTATTGGCAATAGTACTAGCTAAAGGAAATTAATCCTGAGAAATATATATTTGGCAAACAAATGTAAAGTTAACTTGAAGAATTAATTGTACGAGCGTGATGTACAGAGAGAAAAAAAAAAGTAATATTAAGGGTTCAGATCTACCAACAGCACCTGTGGGGGTAGAATAAGTGCTTTTTTTATGGTGATGAATCTTTTTTTTTTTTTTTGCTCTTGTTATATATATTAATAAGAGTAATAGACTTTGATGAGTGGAAATAGTGTTGTGTCTTTTAGTTCACTAATTTGAGTTTCTAATTTAAATTAATATGTAATTTTATATGAAAATTTTTTATTATAATAAAAAAATTAAATGTAATTATTTTTTAAAATTTTTTTAATATAATAAAATTCAAATTTTAGTAGTCAATAACTTTGTCCTAAACTTTCACTTTCTTTTTTTAAAGGAGGAGAAAGGCCCACAGTCACATGAGCAGGTGTCAGAAATCTCAACAGCGCCTATAAATGAGAAATACAATTCCTGGTTGGCGGTGGGGATCCGTTGCCGTTGGGTCCAACGGGGATGCCCACGTGGCAACGGTCCTATAGAAGGGTCCTAGTCTATTGAGCTGTGTAGCAATTATCCCCTCTTTGCCCTTTCTATATATAGTGTGAAATGTGAATATGTCTCGTTTATTTCACCGATTTAAATTTTCAGTTTTAGATTTTTACAATAAAAAACTCTCAAAAAATGTCACATTTAATTTTTTCTGCTACAGTGAAAAGTTCTCATAAAATGTCACATCTCAGCTTGAATTGAAAACTCAAATCTGCGAAGTGAACAAGGCCGTTCCACTACTACACATCCAACAGTCTAACCTCGTTCACTTCACAGATTCGAGTTTTCAATTCGAACTGAGATGTGACATTTTCTGAGAGCTTTTTACTGTAGCAGAAAAAGTTAGATGTGACATTTTTTGAGAACTTTTTACTGTAAAAACCTAAAACTGAAAACTCGAATCGGTGAAATGAACAAGGCATAATATATATATATATATATATATATCACTCTCACTGCTGTGGGAACGCTTTTCGAGACGGATCAGGTTCTGGTAGGAACCTGCTTATGTGCTGGAATTGTTAACGAACATACCATGCACATTCAGGGCTTTCACCACCCATATATACAATAACATCTATGTATTTACTATATCATTTTATGTGTGTGTGTGTATTCATAAATGCACATTATTTATATATCTAGCTCCGGAATCCTCACTCAACTTTGTTTTTATCAGAACAAACCTTAATTACATAACTTTCAAAAACTTTTATTTCTCACGATATTTATGTACTTATTTATACTTAATTTGGTCCATCGGTTTTAATTATATTAATTATCCCTCATCCTAAATAATTATTAAATAAAGCAGATAAGAAGTCGCAACTGGCAAGCTCAAGTCACTATCGATCTTAACATAACACTTCAAATTGAAAATTACAGTGATATCTTATCTAATGAGAGCTAGCTTGCTCATATATCCTATCCTTTTTTTTTCTTCTTTTTTTAATGATATCCAATTCTTTTTTTTTTTTTAAAGTGAGACGACAACTAGTATCAAGTTTTTATTAGAACATCTTTAGTAATTTGACACGCTTTAACAATATTCTTCTGTACCAAGTTTTCCACTCGAGTTTATTGAAAAATAAAATCCAAATTCAAAACAATATTCCCAATAAAGACTATGACAAAGCCAAAAATAAAAGCAAAGACCAGCAAAAATTTTTACAGACGTTAACGTTCTAATGATCAAACAAGATTATTGTTGGGGATATAACATCAAGTCAAAACTTTTACGCCATGTTTGGTAGCTTGTATTGTATTATATTGTGTTGTACAATACGGTGTTTGGTGTCATGATGAATTGTATAAGGGGGTAAAATTTTAATAATGTTAGGGTCAAAATGTAAATTTTGAAAAATTTTAGGTCCAAAATATGATTTTTTTTAAGTTTTGGGGTCAAAATGAAATTTTATAAAAATTTTGGGTTTAAAGTGTAATTTTACAAAAAAAATTCGAGGTCAAAATGTAATTTATAAAAATCTAGGGTGAAAATATAATTTTTAAAGAATAAAAAATTTGCATTGTGCTTCCTAAATTTTTCAACATTTACAAGCTCCGGAATGACCTTATGTTGGCCCGACCCCAACCTGTAGTCTTGCCCAACCCGGACATAAATTATTGATACACTATAAAATAATACGATACAATACATAAAAAATGAGCCGTATTCAATAATACGACGTAGACCGTCTTAATATATCATCCGTATTAGTTTATACAATATGATGGTCATACCAAACATTGTATTATTGTATTATTATACAATACGGTACTCTAATATGGTAAAAGAAACATGCCCTTACTTTCATAACCAATATTTCTTGCATCTCCAGACGAGGCTTAATTTACGCGAACAATAATACTATTATGTAGGCGTACGTCAGAAACATGAAGAAAGCAACTTGATATGTATTATAGGACTTGTCTACGGTCTCCCAATTTGAAAATAGGGAATTTGTCCCCTATATGCCATCGTAACCGACTGAGGGATTACCATAATTCTCTTGTATTAAGTCGTAAAAGTTACTATTTTGAAAGTCAGAAATCATTTTTAAGCATATGGCAATAAAGAACTGTTATGTACACATGTCATGAATAATATTAAAAGACACATCAATAAACGATTGTCATTTTTAATATGAATAATAAAATGCACATATATCATTTTTATTGTTAATAGTAGTCGTTTCATCTTAATCGATTGTCTTATTTTAATTTAAACATGAATAATATTGTCATAAAGGATTAAGTCTGTCATGTTCTTTTTTATAATAGACACATCTAGCCATACATAAATATTTATTTGGAGCAGTACATGACAGTTGTCTATTGTCATATGCTTACAAACGACTTCTGATTTCTAAAATAATAACTCTTACAACTCAATACGAGATAATTACGGCCTCGTTCGTTTTACTGATTCAAATTTAGAATTCGAGTTGAGATGTGATTTTATGTGAGAGTTTTTTACTGTAGCAAAAAAATTAGATGTGATTATTTATGAGAGCTTTTTACTGTAGCAAAACTCGAATTCTAAACTCAAATCAGCGAAACGAACGAGGCCTACGTTAATCTTTCAACCGGTTCAGATGGGCAAAATCTCTCTCATAAAAATGTTAGGGAACCAAAAAAAAAAAGCCTATATTACGTAAAAGTGCATATAGGAATTTATACAAAATTTGTCTAAGCTATAAGGGCATTATTTGCAGCACATGCTATCAAGACTGATCCAATATTTTACCCCGAATTATGCACGAAGCTTTCCATTTACATGCTCAAATGTTACTGTGAGATGAATCTACGAGCCTAAATATTTGTTGACCTATCCAGCACACATATATAGGTGGGCCCTTGTAATGATATGATGTAGACGTTGATAAGGAGACATCTAGGGTGCATTTACACAGTGCCAAGAGTCAGAGACTTCGAGAAACGACATATTTTATTTGGTAAGAGATATTTGTGCCGAATCATCAAGCTTTCCCATATGTTACATAAATGACATTGTCACATTGAAAAACATATATTGAAGTAGATATTTACATTCGGTTAAAATTTCCAACGAATTAAAGTGAAACTAATGAAAGAAGAGCGAGAGTAACTAGCTCTAGCTAGTTGAAAAGCAGCTAGTCCATGCATGACAAATTAAGTCTCTGTTTATTTTTATCGATTTGAGTTTAAAATTTAAGTTTTGTTATAATAAAAAGCTCTCAGATACAGTTACATTTAACTTTTTATTACAATAAAAAAACTCTCACATAAAAATATCTCAACTCAAATTAAAAACTCAAATCAACGAACTAAACGGGCCCTAAGTAATTATATGAGTGATTAGCTAAAAATTGTAGCTAACCAAAAATGGTACC